GAAAGAGAAATGAAGGCTGGAAATGGAACTGGGTGGCATGTAATCAGTCCTCTGACCTTCCTTCCCCACCCTTTGCCGGTTCGGTTGGTTCTCCTGCCCCTCGGGCAAGCTGGGGGCCCATAAGATGTGACTCATCTGGCTGCTTGGGTTGACGAAATGGCCCTGATGCCTTATGAGCCAGCTCCTATGCACATGAACTACCTTCCTCCCTTGCCTGCGCACAACTCGTAGCACACAAAAGTGTTGCCACAGACTTCAGAGCTGCCCGAGAGAGATGTCCCCTGCAAAGGTATAAGGACATAACTTGACCCTGGGGATGGAAACCATCCATCAGAGTGCATTCGAGCTCCCCATGGAGATGGGAGATGCCAGTCACTGTGGCACCACCACCTTTCTGATAGGGTAGGGAGAGAGATGGAGTCTGAGGCTACACACCCCTCCCCTTGATCTGGCCCACTGCTTGGTGCAGATTCCCTCCGCTGCTGCCTCTAGCCCTGAAGAAAGGTGTTTTTTTCCTACATTTTAGCTCTTCAGCTAGCTTTGTCCTTCTTCCTCCTTATTCCCCACATACTAAGGAAGAGAAATTGCACCCTACAGATGAAAGGCAGTGATGCTGGTGGAGAGCCTACAGGAGGCTGATGGCCTCTAATCCCTTGCCCCCAGGTTCAGAGCATGGATGCTACTTCCATACTTCCCACAGGGGCTCCGGATGACGCACTGTCAGGGAGCTGGGGCATGAGGGGTGGCAGGGGATTCACCTCCAGTCCTTTGTTCCTTCCCATTTTAGTTGATCCGAATGTGGAGACTTCAACGCCTTCCCTAGAGGAGCCGTCCCGCTCTGGTTAACCTCTTAGGCAGGAGGTTAGCGCTCATGGGCACCAGTTTCCTTGTGCTCATCATTGCCTTGGCTTCTCCTGCATCTCCTGGACATTCCTCTCCTGTACGCGCCCTCCAGATCCACAGACCTGCTTATCCAGTCTCCTGCTTACCTCAGTGTTTGGCTGAGGTAAGTACTTTTTGTTCTCTCGGTCCTCCTCTCTTAGGAAGCTGGCTGGCTTTCAGAGCTTAGGGATTGGGTGGGTGAAGGTTGCAGCACTATCTGCTGAGAAGCAAACCAACACCCCTTGACTAAAGGGGAAACCGGTCCCGTCAAACCTACCTGGGAATTTTTGTGGCTGGCAGGAAAAGGACTGAGCAGCTCCATCAGAACGTGATGGAAGCCTCTTCTTGGTCCTGTCCTGAGCCCTGGCCTCTGAAAATGCAGAGCTCAGCTTCTTGAAATCCACCCCACAGCCCTCTAAGGCAGGGAGCATTCCCTGCTAGGCTTCATAAAAGGGGGAGACCGAGTCAGAAACGTGGCTTAATCGCAACTGCCGGGAGGAACCACAACCAGGGCCCAGATGAGGTCAGAGAACACGGTTTAAATCAGGTCACCGCTCGATATTTATTGTGTGGAGTTTTTCTTTTTTCTTTACTCCCGCACTGAAATCCTTCCCCAGAGGCTATTCAAGGAAATAAATAGCCAGTGGAAAGGGACAATAGCTTGCTGTGGAGTACAAATTATATGAAGCAGTAGGAAATAATAGCAGAGTGAGCAGCTGCCACTCCGAGAAAGAATGCACGGTTGCTCTCTCCAGCTCCCTTTGCCTTGAGCGGATGCCGATGCCTGGTCCACAGCACAGGCTCCCTGGTGCCTTGAGTGCAAAATGGGACAGGTGCCTTTTCCCCCCACAGTGTCCTCCTCCGGTGCCACTAATTAGCACCAAGCTGCCACCGCAGCTTTTCGTTAGGGTGCTAAGGGGA